CTATGTTCTTCCCGACATCCCTCTGAACCCCAAACAGATCCACTACAGGGGTGGGGTGGGGTGGGGTGGGATGGGTAGCCCAGGCTTTAGGAGTACTGGATTCTGTAAGGTGAGGTAGGGGTGGAGGTGGGAGAGGAGATCCCACCTTCCTGGGTGGGGACCGTTGTTCACCAACAGGGACTCGCCTTTGCAGAAGGCTTTACACGGCTGTCTCGGGTGATCCAAACAACAGCTGAAGGCTGACTTACCATTATCATCCTCATTTTGGAGGTGAAGAAAGGGAAACCCACTCAAAAAAGTGACCTACCCCAGGGAGCACAGCCAGCAGGGGGCAGAGCCAGGGCAGAAGCCCAGACTTGTCCGATCCCAAGCCAGAGTTTTAGGCTACGGCGCCTTACTGCTTCTAATCTCACAGGAAGTCATGGTGGCCCACGTTTCTGGCCATCACAGAGTCCCAAGCACCATAGGCTGTGACGCGGGCACTGAGTTCTGAGCATAAACGTGAACACGCTGGTGCAGAGGCCACTTAGTGTCAGGAGCTTTCTATGGGAAGCACGCTTGCTCCAAGCATCCTGCCCCATGGCCCAGGCGCTGCAAGACGTGAGGAAGGGAGAGTCAACAGGATCGTGTGCCCAGCTCCGGGCAGGCACCCGGTTCCACCAGAGAGGTGAGACTAGAGAAGCAAGTTTGGCAGAGGGGAGAAGGTAAGGAAGATTCCTGGTGGCTGAGCTTGAGATCGCTGGTTTCTTCTTTCTGCAAGCATTTATGCAGTCCCTAACAGGGACTGTTTCAGGCAACTGAATGAATGGGGTGGGGGGAGGTAGAGGCTGTGTCTGCCCACAGTCTAGTGAGGGAGACCAGCAAGGACAGCACGCTTGCTACGAAGGGTGAGCATGTCGTGGTGGAGGACACCCCAGGTGTAAAGAGCATAAGGGCACAGCAAGCAAGTGCAGCCCGGGGCGGAGGGTGGTGGTGGGCAGACTGGAAGGGCCCATCTAGAGAGGCCCACATGGGAGCCAAGGATGACTGGGAGATCCTGGCTAAGGACTGGATAGGTGGTGCTGCCGTGTCGCGGAAGGGGTAGGAGTCGACAGGGACCGCGCTGAGGAGGGTGCTCGGGGGAGCATGCGTACTGCCATTCAGGACTGGCTGAGCTGAGATATCCATTGAGATATCCACTTCTAAGTGAAGGTGTCTACCCAAGCAAGTGGATTAGGAGCCGTGGACCTGGGTGGCACCATGCAGACAGAGACTGTAGAGAGGAAAAGTCACTGGTTAAAAAATGTTTTTTAAAAAAACAAGACATGGCCAGGCGCGGTGGCTCACGCCTGTAATCCTAGCACTCTGGGAGGCCGAGGTGGGTGGATTGCTCAAGGTCAGAAGTTCGAAACCAGCCTGAGCAAGAGCGAGAGACCTAGTCTCTACTAAAAATAGAAATCAATTGGCCAAACTAAAAATACATTTAAAAAAAATTAGCCGGGCATGGTGCTGCATGCCTGTAGTCCCAGCTACTTGGGAGGCTGAGGCAGGAGGATCGCCTGAGCCCAGGAGTTTGAGGTTGCTGTGAGCTAGGCTGATGCCACGGCACTCACTCTAGCCTGGGCAACACAGTGAGACTCTGTCTCAAAAAAAAAAAAAAAAAAAAAAGACAGTTTTTCCCTTTTTCAGATTAGCTAATGTGAAAAAGAATGGCAAGTCTCAGTTTCCCAGTTTTGGCAAAGATGTGGAAAATAGGCACTCTCTCAAACACAGCTCCTGCATGGGCAACTGAGCAGTGTGTACTTGATGCCTTAAAAGTAAATACACCCTTAAACCCAGCAATTAAAGTTCCAGGGATTCAATGAGGAAAAAAAAAATGTGCTTAACTATGTCTGTATCCGTGTGTGTACATTGTAGCTTTGTTCACCTAAGTGTTGAGAAATAAACACTTCCATTCCATTGTAGCTCAGTACAATGGAATACCATGTAGGCATTGTAAAATAACATGGCAAATTTTTATTATTGTGTCAGTGAAAATGGTGAACGATTTTGAAATGAACAAAGGAGATGGGAAGTCCTTTGAATGGAATTCGGGACTGCATCTAGTAGACCCTTCGGGGTAATATGATTCTACAGGTGTCTCCTTTCTTTGTGATGATGCTGTTTTGCAACTAAGTTGTAGAAAAGGGATAGTAATGAAAATCAGTCTTATTCACAGAAATACAAATGAATTTTGCCCTAACTGTTGTTCACCATACCAAAAAGATGATTCCAAATACACTATTTTATTGAGAGATATTAACCCATTTTGCATCTATTAACAAATCCTTTATGCATTTCTGATTGTCTATATGCTATAGTTTCAATGTATGCTCTCCAAAATTCAGGTGTTAAAAATTAATGGCCAATATGATAGTATGAACAAGTGGGGCCTTTAAGAAGTGATTAGGGTATGAGAGTTCCTCCTTCATTAATGAAATTAAGGCCCTTATAAAGAGCCTTTACATGGCATTCAGCTCTCTTGCCCTGCCTTCCCCTGAGTGAAGACACAGTGTTCCTCTCTTCCAGAGGCTACATAAAGCAACAAGGTACCATCTTAAAAACAGAAACCAGGCTCTCACCAGCAAGTCCCTTGATCTCGGGCTCCCCAGCCTCCAGAACTCAGAGAAAATAAATTTCTGTTCTTTATAAATTTCCCAGCCTTGGGTATTTTGTTATAGCAACACAAACAAAGACACTATATGTATGTATTTTACATGCACATAGATTGCTCTGCCTCAGGTATTTCATTGTAGCAACACAAACAGACTAAGATACTATATATTTTTTTTTCCTTCAGATTCTCCTTTGAACAGATTGTAACATCTTACTGGGGTTCCCCTCATGAATTAATGATTTCAATAAAATCTTTGAGATGTGTCCATTTTATATTTGCATGACTGTCAGTTTTACATTTTTGCAAAGTATCCTTTAACAAGTTGGCACGGAAAGTGTTTATGCTGCAGATCAAGGATTGGCAAACTCTGGATTGGCAGCCAAATCTGGGCTGCTGCCTATTTTTTGTAAATAAAGTTTTATTGACACACAGACATGTCTATTACTTTACATATTGGTTTTGTACTAAAATACAATGGCAGAGTTGAGTTGTTGCCACACAGACCATATGGCCTGTGAAGCTAAAAATCTGGCTCCTTAATGGAAATATTTGCTGGCCTCACCTGTAAATGAAAAACTATTACCAAGCAAGATTCCAAACATGTATTATATGTGCATGTATATACACATACATAGTTGAAGATCTAGAAGGATATACAACAAAATGTTGTAGGAATCATTCTCAATCGGAGCATCTTGCCTTTATACCCTACCCATCAGTCATGGCAAAATCCTCGTTAGTACTAAAGGGAAGTCCAACTTTAGAAAGGATTGTCATAAAATATTTAATATAAATTTATCATCGAAAAATTATTCATGAAGTCTGCCTCGTATGGTAGACTGGAAACTGAGCGACTGGTTTGCCCAAGATTTTCCCAGTTTTAAAATGGAAAGTCCCACACTCAAAGAATCCCTTCACCCAGGCAAACTGGACAACTGATCACCTTGGCTGGAAACTTTGCTATCCTGGTTTGGATCCTGGATCTGCTACTTAATAGCCACTGAGCACCCTTGAGAAGACCATTTACTGTCTCTAAGTCTCACTTATTGCAGTTGCAAATAGATATTTCCCTGTCCTGCAGGTATCCTTGTGAGGATGAAGTGAGGTTAGTTCATGAACAAGTGCTCAGTAAACCATGATGGTCAAGAAAAAGGGCTATTATCACTTTGTCTCCCAAACAAAATTATGTGATGGTTAGACTTTGTGTGGCATTACAACATAAAGAGGATGAGAGAACAATGACCTAGAAGTTTGTCATATAATTATAAAGTGACCACATAATTTGTTGTCCAAACCAGGACAGTGTTGAGAGTGGAAGAGGAACTCTTAACAGTCACATCAGGACAACAGCAGTAAACCAAGACTGTCCCTGGTGAATGTGGACAGGTCGTGGACCACAAAAAGACATGGGGACAAGGCCAGCGTCACGAGTGTGCAACCTGTGCTTGCTTTCATGCTCTGCTGTTGCTATCTCAAAATTCTTAATGATTTTTGAGAAGGGGCCCCTTGTGTTCCTTTTGCACCAGGCCCCACCAGTCATGTAACTGGTCCTCCTTGGGGAGGACCCTGTTGTGCAGCAAGGAGAGATGGCTCGACCTCTGAAACCCCTCCCAGGCCTGGGCTGCTAAGCCTCCAAGCCCCTCCCCCCCCAAGGAGAAAGTCCCAGTTTTAACCCCAGCTGGTTCAAATCCCCTGGAGTCAAACCTAGCAGCCCACGAGGAGGCAAAGGATGGAGCCTGGGGTCTGCGAGAGGCCTCGTTGCCCCACTCGGAGCAGGTGCCTGCCACGAGGCGCGGCCAGACCGGCTTGGAGGCGTTGCCCAGGCACGGCCGGCCACACGCCGCTTTGAACTCTTGGTTTTGTCCTTGGCCGCCGTTTCTGCAGCCTGGCAGAGGTTTGGGCTGGATGAACCCTAGAGGGCATTTGAGCGTGAGTCATCCTACCAAGTTAAACCTACTGATCTGGCAACCCCCAGCCGCTAATGGCTGTGAACGCCATTTATGGGGCTTTTAAGGGCAATAACTGTAAAATCCAGTTCCCTGTCTTAACAAAGCAGAACAAAGCTGGGTGGTGTTGCCAGAGGAGCGCAGCTGCTTCCCAGTGACTGGGAAGTAGCTCTGGGGTGAGCCCTAGGAAAGACGGCAGGAAGCTAACCCATAGAAACCGCCCCCAGCCTTACCGCGGGGGGTGGGAGGGGGCAATGGGGACCACCGTTTCGCAGTTTACCCAAGGACACCAGTACCACCTGGCCCTCCACCGTTGTGACGATCCGAAAATACCTGCAGACTTTGTGGGATGTCCGCTGGGGGGCAAATGGCCTCTAGCTGAGAACCCTGCTTTATGGCATCAGAGTATTTACATCAAAGGGTGATCGTGAGGATTACATGAGCTTGTAACTGTCCACACACTTACAACAGTACCTGAATATTTGTTACATAAATGAAATGGCTGTGCCCCGCTAGTGTCTGGTATGACTCTGATTGCCAGCAGGGGTCCCACAATGCAGAGTAATGACACCGGTGCGCTTCTCTGCCTACCCAGCCTCAGCACCTTGGGGTCTTCTTCTTGCCTCTGTTTGGGGCTCTCACACTTGCCACCAGGACAAATGTCTTCCCTTCTCTGCGCTTCAGTTTCCTCAGCTGAAAAAAAATAGGGATAATCGTATTCATCCCATGGAACTGTTTTGAGAGTTAAATTAAAGTCAACTTTACTTTAACTTTAAAAGTTAAAGTGTCCGTGTGTGACAGGCACCTGCAACTGTGGCTGGCACACAGTCAGTACTCCAGGAGTAACGAATACGTACTGCTATTGCCACCTGACGGTGCCCGGCAGGTGTCAAGAAACAAGCGCACCCCCACTGCACGGGCCTGGGTGGTCTGTGAGTGCTAAACACTTGGAACTGGGCTCTGGCCTCCAAAAGCCAATATGGGATTTCCCTTTTTCTTTTCTCTTCTCTCTCTCTCTTTAAAATGGGTGTACACTGCTGGGGGGGGGACTGCAAACTAGTTCAACCTCTGTGGAAAGCAATATGGAGATACCTTAAAGCGATACAAGTGGATCTACCATTTGATCCAGCAACCCCATTACTGGGCATCTACTCAAATGATCCAATGACACTCTACAATAAAGACACCTGCACTCGAATGTTTATAGCAGCACAATTCATAATTGCAAGGCTGTGGAAACAGCCCAAGTGCCCATCAATCTAAGAATGGATTAATAAAATGTGGTATATGTATACCATGGAGTACTTTTCAGCTCTAAGAAACAATGGTGATATAGCACATCTTATATTTTCCTGGTTAGAGCTGGAACCCATACTACTAAGTGAAGTATCCCAAGAATGGAAAAACAAGCACCAGATATATTCTCCAGCAAACTGGTACTAACTGAGTAGCATCTAAGTGGACACATAGGAACTACAGTAATAGGGTATTGGGCAGGAAGGAGAGGGAAGGGGGATGGGTATATATATACATAATGAGTGAGATGTGCACCATCTGGGGGATGGTCTTGCTGGAGACTCAGATTTGGGGGGGGAGAAGGGAAAGGGCACTTATTGAAACCTTAAAATTTGTACCCCCATAATATGCCGAAATGAAAAAAATAAAATGGGTGTACAGCTGGGTCCTACGATACAATGCCCAACCCCACCTGCTCTAGGTGTTGCAAAGGTAACTTTAGGCTCCTTTCAGCCCCTCCTGTGGCAGATCTGCCTCACCTCCTGGGGTGGGGTACCTAATGGCAGGGTCGCCAAGGGGCCCAGTTTGCCCAGCACTGAAAAGTTTCCAGGGAGAAGGGACTTTCAGTGCCAACATCCCAACGCCAGGGGCTAACCAGGGTAAGTTGATCACCGACCTGGGCGTTGGGGGTTCTATTAAGACTCCTGTCTGGAGCACAGCCCCGTCGCTGGGATGATCCTTCATTGTCAGAAACCCTATTCCCAGAGGGAGGCATGCAGGGGGAGGCTGAGGGACCCTCACCCTGCTGCACCCCAACTCCATTCAGGGCAAGCCCTGGCTCCTCTGGCGTCTGCAGGGACGTGGACCCCATGCCTGGCTCCTCCATACTCCTGCTTGGCTGCTGCTCACTCCTTGGGGTCTGGCAGTAGCAGTGTCCCCTAGCTGTGCCCAGAGCCTGTCTTTAAGGGCCACTACTCCAGCCCCAGCTGCCAGTGCAGGTCCTTCCCACCCTGGCTTGTCCCAGGGCCACCTGGGGCTTGGCCTGCTCACTTAGTCTCCGCCTCTGTCTTGGGGGCCCCCAACACTGGGTCTCTCTCCACCTTGGAAAGAATTGCTGGAACCAACCCCCAGTGACTTAGCGGCATTCCTTCCCTTCCTTCCAAACCTTCCTGAAAGCACACCTGTGGATGAGAGCAGCAATTAACGTTATCAGCCATAAAGGATCAGAAGGAAAACCCAGTGGCAGTTGGGAATTGTTAGGGCCATAACCACTTCCAACGTTGGGGGTTTGTTTTATTTTCTCTGGCTTGGAGGGGGTGTGGAGAAGGGTCCTGTATATATGACTAGGCCGCTTTTCAAAGCGACCACTCGGACTTTTATTCTAGAAGGGGAGAACTGGGGCCAACGGAGAGATCATAGAGCTCTGAAATTGGCCGCTGGGAACAAACCCTGGGGGACAAGGAGACCAACCAGGTGGAACAGCCCCCCAACAGCAGCCCTGTGCAGGTGAGGCAGGGGACCGAGACCCCTCTGCAGAAGGCCGTTATGAGCCTAGAATTTCAACTTATGCCGTTGATACCATGCCAAGCCCCCAAGGAAAGGGAAGGAGAAAACCCCCAGCCCCCACCCCTTGCTAGTCAACGTGGTAAAATAATCCGGGAAGGGAAAAAAAAAAACGAGAGGAAGAAAACCAGATGGAGCGGAGAGCCTGCCCAGAACTTGCTGCTTTTGTCAACTTGGATTTGTTTGCAGGTGAACACAGGGTTGGCAGAGAGCAAGTGTGTTTCAAGAGGGGACCCCCTATGGCAGACACAGTCCCCACATAGGGGGACCACAGGCAAAACCAGCCTCACCCTCCACCCGAGTGTCACAAGAGTTCTCAGGATGCAACAGCTGTCAAACCTTAGGTGCACGAGTCCTTAGCAGCCGCTGGGAGGTTAATAATGGCTCATTAGGCTTTTCCTGGAGGTAATTTACATCTCGTTTGAGCCTCTGCTTTTCAGGCATTTTTCTGCAATGGCTCTAGGGTTTTTTTTTTTGGGGGGGGGGACTAAATCCATTTAATACTCATGCTTATTCTTCAAAATGCCTTAGATCAGTACCTAAAACTTGAAACTAGTTTTAACCTCCAGAGAAGAAATTATCCGGCCCCGATCTCCGCTGATGTTGCATGCTCCCCTGGAATTGAAAAGCGCCTTTTGTGGGGGAACTTTAAAAATAATTACCAGCAAATACTTCAAGTGGAATTCAGATTGGAGCCTAGTTCACATTTCATGCCTTCGTGACATTCTTGTTCAGGAATGAATCTTTTATGAAAGGTCTATTTTAAGTTGCACCTTCCAGAACCTTATTTTTGTCTCTGAAAGAAAGAGGCAGCAGAGCAGAACCCGGATTCTTCCGATTCACCACGAGCTTCGCCAGTGAGCTGCGCTCTCCGGGGGCTGTGGCTGAGGGGTCCAGGCAGAGGGGACACTGGCTTTGCACTTAGCCCCTGCAGGTTTTCCAATCAGGCTGTTTTATTCAACTAAAAACAAGCCCCCCTCCCCTGCCCCAGGACTGAAGCACGCTTTCTTTCCCGTGCCCCTCCCTGGAGGTGGAGAAGCTCATTTGATCTCAGGCACCAACTGCTGCCCAGTCAAATTTCTCACCTCCGCTTGGGGAGCAGCCCTTTGAATTTCCAGCACCTCCCGGGGCTGGAGGCCCGTGCTGGCCCCTGTCAGCACGCCCAGAGCTGTTTTTCCAGGTGTGGGGGAGGGTTTCCCCTGAGCCTTTCCCACCCACTCTTGTCTATTCATTGCACAGATTCTCACCAACTTCTGTTAAGAGAGAGTATCTGAAAAACTTGGAAATGAGGCAAAAAAAGATGACTTCACGCCCTTCCAAAGTCACGCTAGAACGTTGTTTAACGATTCCTCCCGTGTTAGATTGGGCTCCCCGGATGCGGCGGCTGAGACAGGGGGTTGCAGGCACGGGGATTATGGGGTGTGCATGTGGGAGAGACACCTGCAAGGTGAGGAAGGAAGGACTGCATGGGGGGAAGGTGCCCCACGGTGTGGTTGCAGCTGAGGCCTCGGCCGGTCCCATGGAAAGCGCCAGAGCTGAGGTGACCCATTAGCATTGTTGCAAACTGAGACAAGAGGACCAGCCTTTGGATCACCTGTTCAAGACCAGCCAGGGGTGGGAGAGGAAAGGGAGACCTTGGGGTAGGCAGTTTCCATCCATCTCAGGCAATTCCCAGTGGGGGACAGAGCTGTAAGCCATATATCAACGTCAGCAGCTGATATTTCTAGCAGCTGGGGGACACCGCTGCACCCCAAAAAGAGAATCAGTCTGATACCTGGGCATCAGTCAACAGGAAGGGATGGTCACTTTGACTTAGTATTTATTATTAAGGCCCAGACTCTACATGCTAATTTATGGAAAATTGAAATGATGGATTTATGGAAATCCATCATGATTTCCATATGATTTCTAATGATTTATGGAAAGTTGCAAATGATGTTTGTCTGGTAGAAAAGATAGCCCCAAAGGCAGTATAGTTTTATTGTCCTGCAGGGACATAAGCCGGTTTTTAATTTGACTTAGCAAAGTCATTTGCAATATTCCTTCTTTCAATGGCCACACGTACTTGAGTCTGCCACGCACTCCCGTGAGCCCGCTCTTCCGTCCTGCCGGTCCCCTCCGCCCCCATCGCCTTACCCGAGTCCTCGCCCCAAACCCGAGCTCCCCGCATTTGTCTGAGTTTTCAACTTTGACGCCTCCGAGTGCCTGCTGTACAGACAGCGTTGACTCAGCCGCCTCCAGGGAGCTCCGGGGATTCGCCGGGTCCACACCTCACTCGGTGAGTGGTCACAGGCAGGCAAGCGCCTGCTTCCATCCAGGCAGTGACCAAGGCGCAGCGAAGTCGGAAGGCCGTGCAGTGCGGTGCGCAGGAGCGGAGGCTCGAATCCCACCACTTACTATAAGCCATGAGATCCTGGACCTGTGATTCAGCCTCTCTGAGCCTCAGTTTTCACATCCCTAAAACAAGGGTAGTCACAAGTGCCTTGCAGAGCTACTGCATATAAAGTGCTTTCTCCAGGGAAGCCACATGGCAAGTGCTCGATAATGGCAGATACCACCACTGGCTGTTCTTTCTTTTTACCGTGGTAAAACACACGACCTGATTCACCATTCTAATCATTTTTAAGTGTATAGTTCAGTGGAATTAAACACATTCACATTGTCATACAAGCATCACCACCATTCATCTCCGGACGGATTCAACTTCCCAAAGTGAAACTTTGTGCCCCGTAAACACTAGCTGTCCATTCCCCACTCCTGCTGGCTCTCGGGGACCCCGATTCTACTTTCTGTCTCCATGGATTATACCATTCTAGGTCCCTCACGTGTGCGAATCATACGATATTTGTCCTTTTGTGTCTGGCTTATTTCAATTAGCATAGTGTCCTCAAGGTTCATCCATGTCGTAGCAGGTATCATAATTTCACTGCTTTTAAGGATGAACAATATTCCATTGTATGTATATAACACATTGTTTTCATCCATTCATCTGTGCACTGACATTTAGGTTGTTTCCACCTTTTGGCTATTGTGACCAACGCTACTATGAACACAGGTGTACAAATATCTGTTCCAGGCTCTGCTTTTGATTCTTTTTGGCATGTACCTAGAAGTGGAATTGCTGGATCCTCTGGTAATGCTGTATTTAATTTTTTGAGGCGTTTCCATACTGTTTTCCATAGCAGCTGCACCATTTTACATTCCCGCTAGCAATGCACAAGGGTTCCAATTTTTTCACATCCTCATCAATACTTGTTATTTTCTGAGTTTTTGTATAAAGGCATCCTAATTGGTGTGAAGTGGTATCTCATCGTGGCTTTTATTTGCATTTCCCTAGCGATTAGTGATGTTGAGCATCTCTTCGTGTGCGTATTGGACATTCATGTATCTTCTTTGGAGAAGTGTCGACTGAAGTCCTTTGCCTGTTGTTTTAATTGGGTGGTTTGGTGATTTTGCTGTTGTATTAGCTATTCTTAAGAAGAGGAAAGCTAATAATCTATGTCCTTCCAACCCACGCATGCACACTTCAGGTGATGGCCATGGGATTGGGGCGATAGGACAGAGCCCCAGAACACCTGGAAATCAGCCACTTGAGCTGGAAGTGCAGCCTATACTCCTATGCAAGATTCTCCAACTGGCCCCCAAGCACGTGGAGACACTGGCTTCATGAGTACAGCGTGCTCTAACCCATGAGATAAGTGGCTACAGATGAAGCGACTCAAATACCGAGACAGCTCGGCTCAGCATGCGCTGGGACAGGGCTTGGTCTTTGCATACCACCTTCTCTACTGGGCTCATTGATCTCACCTGGCAGAGAAGCCAAACAAACTGAGGTCTTCTCACCCCACCAGATGCCCAGGCAATGAGGTAGCCAGTGACCAGGAATGTCTGAGCTTAAAATAGAAAGGCCCAGTGCCAAGATCAAGGCTTTCCTTTGTGTTGAGTGTAGCACCTTTATTTCTCCTAAGTCTAGTCTGGTTTCTTTGGGCCATGCATTTAGCACAGTGCCTGGAACACTAGAAGCGGTTTAATAAAAGCTGCATTGAACTTGGTGGCCCAGGGTGAAGCCTGGGAACAGCCCACAGGAAAGTGACTCTTTCCCTATATAAGGGCAATCAAGGCACCTGCCTCCCTGAGAATCTGATACATCTTCACAACCATCTGGAACAGTTCCCATGGCAGAGCAACGAGTAACACATTGTGTCTGTATCGGTTTGTTAGGGCTGCCATAACAAATACCATAGGCTGGGTGACGTAAACACCAGAAATTTATTGTCTGAAGTTCTGGAGGCTAGAAATTCAAGATCAAGGTGTCAGCATGACTGGTTCCTTCTGGGCACTGTGAGGGAGAAATCTGTCCCACGCCTCTCACCTGACTTCTGGTGGCTTGTGTTCTTTGGTGTTCCTTGACTTCTGCTTCACCCCACTTTCCGGCTCCATCCTCACATGGCATTCCCCCTGTGCCTCTGCGTCTTCACACACCCATCTCCTTACATGACCCCAGTCATGTTGGGCTAGGGGCCCAGTCTACCCGGTACGACCTCGTCTCAACCTAGTTACACCCACAATTACCCTATTTCCAATAGCGTCATTTTCTGAAGTGCTGGGGATTAGGACT